ATTAAAGTGGACCTTTACCCCCTATCACTATAAATCACTGCAGCACGCAGCTCTGCATGCTGATTTAAAATCATCTTACATTCATTAGTTAAACAAACTTGTTTTTTATTTACTTACAAATAGAGTTCATCTACTTCCTGGCCCAGTTCTGGCACTAGGGCTGCAGCTAACGATTATTTTCATAATCGATTAGTTGGCCGATTATTAAGTTCGATTAATTGGTTAATCGGATAAAAAAGAAAAAAAAAAGGCTCCAGTGATGGACTACTAGTTTGTATTGAGATTGTAGTCCATCACCGGAGCAAGCTTGGCGCGGTGGAAGTAAAAAAAAAGTGTGGTGTGCAATATAGTACATTATACCACGGCGCAGTGCAGAATACCAGCAGCTATAGAGGAATGTAGCAATAGTACATTATACTATAATGTACTATTGCTGGGATTTGTAGTCCTCTGTAGCTGGCGTTATTCTCCATTGCGCTGTATATAATGTATTATTGCTGGGATTTGTAGTCCTCTATAGCTGGTGGTATTCTCCATTGCGCTGTATAATGATTATACTGCGCAATGCAGATTACCACTGACCAGTTATAGAGGAACTACAAATCCCAGCAATAATACATTATACAGCGCAATTTCAGCGTGCGGTGGGCGTGGCTTACACTGCCTGTGCCGTGGGCACGGCGGCCGCAACGGGAGCAGCGTGTGACGTGTGGCTCAGGCCGCATGTGGAGCCCCGAACAGGCAAATCAATCGATAGCCGACGATGATCGAAAACGTTGCCAACGTTTTCAATCGTCGATTTTAATCAAATAAATCGATTAACTGTTGCAGCTCTATCTGGCACAATTGACGTATGTGCCCAAGCGTTGTATCCTGGGAAGGTTACATAAGCAGAGCATTGCTGGGAAATCTCATCTGCAATCTCACGAAATCCCAGGGAAAGGCATTTTCCTCCCCTGAGATGATGTACATGGTTACATGTCCTAGTCACATGTGCCAGATTTTCAGGAAGTAAAGAGAGAGCTAGTAATCTGCCCTTAGTTAACATGGCCACTGCCAGAAGACTGGGAAAGAAAAGAGAAATAAGGTATGCAAAGAATATAAAGCCGGCAATTATCTAGAAGTCTGTGTTTATAGATTGTCATTAACAAACATTTCTAAAGGTGTATTTGTTGTTATTTTAAAGATATGGGTAAAGTTCCTCTTTAATTGTCACCAAAATACATCTCTATACAACAAATATTTTAAAGGTTTTCTACAATTTAGATTTAAGTTGCATTCACTTCCTGCATACCTTCTATATTAATTTTATTTTATTACTCAGCTCCCCACATAAATCATTAGAATAAATATCTGAATCTCATTAGAAATGAGACAATATTCTAGGAGCATAGCAATGGAAAGTGATAAGGTTTGCATTTCTGTCTTATCTACACTTCCAAAAGCTGTCCCAGGGAATAATGGTGTGGATGGGATGATGACAGCACAATAAATTAATAGAGATGATACTACAGATTTAAGTGAAAAAATAACAAGCACTACAAAGAAAAGAAAATCAGAAGTTTACAACATGAAGGGAATAGATTTTTTTTGTATCAGTAGGAAAAAATATTGGTTGAAATAGAACCACCCCAAGTCAATTTTTAACTGCTGAAATGTCTGCTGATATAAAGCTTAGCCATCAAAATAATGCAGGTTTTACATGACTCTGATGTAGTATCAGCCTTATGCATTATTAAATGATCAGATCTCCAACTATTATGAAAATCTCAGTCAAGCAATTTAGAAGCTTTATCATTAAATCATGTGATTTTAACATAATAGAGCGAACACAAAATTGTAATCATAGCTTAAACCCCTTTGTGACTGACGACGTACAGTGTACGTCGCCAGCATCGGGGCTGTTTAAACAGACTCCCGGTGACTTTTGCCGCCGGGAGTCTGGCCGGAGTGAGAGCAATAATTCTAGTGCCAGTATTTTGGAGTATCTCTAAATTGATGACCTGTGGGGGCTTTTAAAGCGTCTTCTATGGACTTTTTGGGGTACTGGGGTTTTTCGGCGTTTTACGGATGTGCTACCAGCTGAATGTGCTACCAGCTGTTCTCCAGTTGCAATTTCTTACATAATTTTGCAGCACAACACTCCAATAAATGTTTTAGCAGAAATGTATTCTGGACTGAAGTGGGGAACATTATCATGAAGCTTACAGGTGTTAAAGTTGGAGACAATCCGGCAGCCTGTCTTCTACATGTCTCCAGTCTATCCAGGAAGAGATATAAGATGTCACTTTTGCTTAATTTGCTTAGTTGTGCATTCCAGCTCTCTGGAGGCAGTCTGCTGTCCCACCTTTGACATTGTGGTACTCCAAGATTGCGGATATAGAACATATGGAAAATTTCTTTGTTTCTTTTCTCGTTTTTGGTCTACTTTTATTTTTCTGAGTTATATTAAAGACAAAAAGTTCTGTCTCGGGGGGATTGGATACTAGACCTATGCTTAGGCTGTATGTTTATACTGGTTTACGTTGCTCTGGTATTTCAGATTTTTTTTACACTTTATGGTGTTTAAATCCATGTCTGCTGTCCTGAGTTTGTATACTGTACTCTTCATTTGTACTGTAAGTTGTATGCCTTGCTTTTCCGAGATTTTAAATAAATAATTATTTAAAAAAGAAAACGATTACCCCTTCACTTAAGTTGTAAAAATGGGAGAAGCATTCTGCATATCTCAGTGACATTCGAATAGGGATTGAAAGAGTTACTTGCCGCCTGATAGAGTATTAAATGATCAGATCTTTCGTTACCTATTATGAGGATCATAGTCAAGCAAGTCAGACCCTTTATAATCAAACTGTTATTTTATCATAGTTGAGAGAACAAAAAAATGTAGATTTTTTTTGCCTTAACCATGCTCATGCCTTGGATATTGCAAAGCAGGAGCATAGTTAAAGCACCAAAAAGAATGATGATAGTGAAAGGTCCCAGCAACCACCTGACTCACAGTTTAAATGGGCCCCTATGTCCCAGAGGGCTCTTGTGCTGCTACATAGTCTGCACAATGGTATGTCCACCTCTGTCTTTCCCATCATGGACTCTACAGCTGTGCAAATCTGGGGATTCAACTGTAGATATCTCACTATCTCAAGTATCTAACAAAATACATTTTGGATGGATTGAGCCTTTTATATAAAATGCTAAAAACTGTTATACTAGAACTGCTTACATCTTTCTGAACTTTTGCCCCATATGAACAAAGAGATATTGCCTAATACTGTGCACTGCTTTGACACTGAAAGCTGCCCTACGTAGTAAAAGACCAGCTTTGAACATTTTTAAAGAGTTTAATACTCAGGCATCTCTTCAAGCAGCTTAAAACTCAAAGCTTATTTTATTCCATTAAAAAGGTTATGTCGGCAATATCATTGCAGAAATAATGACATGAATTATTTGCCATCTTTAGAATTACTGCGATTCAGCATTTAAATGATTTTAAAAAGACAAGTAAAGATTAATGGATCCATCCTGCACACTTCAGTACAGTAGCACCTATCACAGGATTCAGTATTCTTTGCAGATTTCAACTTGTACAGACTGGCTATGTGGAAGTTCAGGGCTGCTCTTTGCTCATCATTCATAATTTTTGTCATCAGATTTTTGTTAAACATCGGCTGATCTTTATCCCCCACCAAAAGAGACTAATCGCAAATCATTACAGCAAAGACTGATCACATATAAGCTGGACAAAATTATTTGAAGTACATTTATAAAGCAAATTATTGACAAAATTAGATGCAAATCAGGGTGCCTGTCAGTTAGCAAAGTCCATGCAGCAGTTTTTTGGTGTATTGCGAACCCCTGATCCTGTAATCCTGGGCAGCCAATGGAGACAGAATTGGACAGGTCTGCAACAGATTTACCACTGGAGATGGGGCACATTTTTAATGTTTGCTAGCACTGCACTATAATTATGGAAGGGAGTTATGATAATGTCTCCTTCATAAATGTCTTTCACAGAGGGCATTAACACAAGATAAGCAGCACAAATCCCCTATACAAAACTGGATTCCAGAAGCCAGTGTGCTGCAGTAACATAATACTGACCCAATCCTATTCAGAACATGCTCAGACACATTCATTGCCTGAGACAATGTGGAGCAATTAGCAACCAATCTTACCCCATACATGTTTTATTTTATGGCCAAACCATATCTATATCGGTAGCTCTTTGACAATCCTTTGTCATGCATTCAATGTTTATGTGTAGACCAAAAGTTGAATATATGTATATTCAAACAGATAAAAAAAACTTTTACAAAAATATGCATTTAAAACAAAATTTAAATTAAGGTGACCCACAAGATGGCTTCCAAAACATTTGTACACCATTGAACAGGTAGAGCATTTAATAAATGAATAAAAGATGTTCACTTTGCAAAGTGAATTACAGAACATACGGGGACATTGTGTTCAATTTAAAACCCAATCATGTGCAAAATAAACTAAAACAATAGATTTTTGCAAGCACATGACTGGATGCTGGAAGTGTACATGTTACATAGTATTTGAGGTTGAATAAAGACACAGGTCCATCAAGTTCAAACTTTGTATGTTTGTGTGCGTGTGTATATGTGTGTGCGTGTGTGTATATGAGTCCCTGTATGTTAAGGTCTCTGAGGAAGGTATCTAAATTATTTTTGAATTATTCAATACTCTCTGCTGATACCATTGCTTGTGGCAGAGAGTTCCAAAATGTAACCACTCTAACTGAAAAGATTTATCTCCATTAAACCCGTCTTATTTACTAAGTTCAATGAACATTAACTTTGATACGTAAACAGTATTAATATGGAAATCACATGTGACTTCCATATAGCTGTTAAAAGTAACTTTAATTGGCTGGAGAAATAAAATAAATATTAACAGTAAATACCATTCATCAAATATCAAGATAAAGCATATAAACAGGTGGAGATTCCAAGGAAACTGTTTGACAGGCTCACCAAAACACGATCTCCAATCCGAAGGTCCTTGTCCCCTTTTTTCACTGACCCACTGTCAGAAAGGTTAGATCCAGACTCATTTCCTGTTTTTATAGTGCTGTTCAGTACACTTTCCCGCAGTGGCACAATTCGGGTGGTTAATGGTGGTGTGGCAGTTCCAGAATGCAAAGACAAATTTTGCGTTGTCAATGATTCCACTGAATGTGAATCACTTCCTGTACCGTCTGCCACAAGCTGGCGAGTCAGTTTGGATGGTCTTGTAAATATTCCTTGCAGTGATTGACATTCAAAGTAGCGCACTCCACCCACAGATCCATCATTCTTTCCTACTAGGTCATCAAGAACCACACCTGCCCACTGGCCTGGGGCAAACTGGGTTTCTCCCAAATACTGTACTACTCCAGGCTTAACTCCATTGACCCATACACGTTCACCAACCACATAATCTCCCAGGAACTCATCGCCCACTTCAGTGATTTTTGATCCAGTTTTCTCTGCACCAACAGATGAAGTAGAACCCTGTTTATGAAGAGGGGAGTCTGCAAAGATATAAGGTCAAAAGTTAGTATTCTGTATTTACATGATATTTACTTTGTTATAATAAGGAATACACAAGCCTTTTGTATTTCAACAATATTAGTTTAGCCCAGATTTCAGCTGTAAAGCGACCTTTCAGTTGCCTAAAAAGTTTAACTGGCAGGTCCCTGCAGTTGAAGAGCTATTTATACTAACCTCTCTTGAGACCTGTGTCTATTAATTTCTCTTTATTTAAGCAATGTTGCCTCCCTCAGACTCTTCAGCATCCAACACTTTTGGGAGCGTTGGATGACTGTATTCCCCACCATGTTATGTGAATCCTTCCTCTGACCCCAACATCACTACAGGTCACAGCGGGGTCGGTGGAAGGAGGCACTGTATGTTGTGAGGGCAAAGATATCTGATGCTCCCCAGAGTGCTCAATGCTGAAGTGTCTGACAGAGTTTTCAGTTCTTGAGCAGAGGTATGGTAAGAGACACAGGCCATGGGAGAGTATATGAGCATCACATTTCCTGGAAGTCAAATTTATATATAAACAAACATATATACAGTATATAGAGAGAGCAAATGAGAGAGAGAGAGAGAGAGAGAGAGAGAGAGAGATTTCTCATCTACAAATGGAGAAGGGCTCTAGGATTCGTGTCTGTTATGGAAAAACAAACTTTTTGTTTAATTTAAGATTTTAATCATTTCTGTCTGGGTCCTGAAGCCCAGAGGTTTTGTAGAGCTTAGAAGACCTTTGGATGAAATAAAGCCCCCATCCCTAGATCCACATCTTACCTGTTACCCAGACCTCATTATTAGTCTCAGCTGTCTACAGGCCTTTATATTTGTGAGCTGACTGATGCTCAGGGTTCTCTTTCTTTCAGTCTTTCTGCTGTGAGAGCCTGCTGTTGATTGAAAAGGTTGACTGCTGACAGAAAACTAAAAAGGTATAGGTGCTGCTATTTGTGAAGGGTACCCATTAGGGGGCACTAAGTTAGTCAGGAACTAACATAAGTTTAATAAGTGGCCCAACCAAGCAGATGTTTTGTTTGTTTTATATTATGGACTTGCTGTACAAAGCCCTCCTGCATTGAACTGTGCTTATTTACGTGCTGCCTTGCTAAATAAAAGGGCAGGACAAATCTTTTTGGACTGTTCCTGGGGGTCCCTGCCTTCTGCCTGCCTGGTTAACTGCTGGCCCTGCCCCTGCTTAACCCTTCTAAAATTGTGCTCAATTGAAAAGCCTGAAACAAAATAGATACCATGAATAATATATATACAGTACTGTGCAAATGTTTTAGGCAGGTGTGAGAAAATGCTGTAAAGTAAGCTTTTAGAACAAAAATTGTTAATAGTTTATTTTTATCAAATAACAAAATGGAAAGCCAAAAACAAAAGAGAAATCCAAATAAAATCAATATTTGGTGTGACCACCCTTTGCCTTCAAAACAGCATCAATTCTGCTAGGTACACTTGCACAGAGTTTTTTGAAGGAACTAGGCAGGTAGGTTGTTCAAAACATCTTGGAGAACTAACCACAGATCTTCTGTGGATGCAGGCTGCCTCAAATCCTTCTGTCTCTTCATGTAATCCCAGAGAGACTTGATGATGTTGAGATCAGGGCACTGTGAGGGCCAAACTATAACTTTCAGGACTCCTTCTTCTTTACGCTGAAGATAGTTCTAAATGACATAGGCTGTATGCTTGGGGTCGTTGTCCTGCTGCAGAATAAATTTGGGGGCTAATCACACGCCTCCCTGACCAAATCACCAACTCCATTGGCAGAAATGCAGCCCCAGAATTGCAAGGAACCTCCACCATGATTCAATGTTGCCTGCAGACACTCATTATTGTACTGTTCTCCAGCCCTTCGCCAAACAAACTGCCTCCTGCTACAGCCTGCTACAACAATTTAACATTTTGACTCATCTGTCCAGAGCACCTGCTGCCATTTTTCTGCACCCCACTTCTTATGTTTTCGTGCACAGTTGAGTCTCTTAGTCTTGTTTCCATGTTGGAAGTATAGCTTTTTGGTCACAATTCTTTCATTAAGACCATTTCTGGCCAGACTTCACTGGACAGTAGATGGGTGTACCTGGGTCCCACTGGTTTCCGCCAGTTCGGTGCTGATGGCACTGCTGGACATCTACCGATGTCGAAGGAAAGTAAGCAAAGTAAGCATTATGTGTCCCTGACTTTATGCAAGTGTGCAAGTGTAAGAATTGATGCTGGTTTGAAGTCAAAGGGTTGTCACACCAAATATTGATTTGATTTTTCTTCTGTTAACTCATTTTGCATTTTGTAAATTTATAAAAAATTAAGCATAGATAAATATATATATTTTTTAAAGAATTTGTCCACTCCTGCCTAAAACTTTTGAACAGTACTGTATATATATATATATATATATAATTCTTGGTATCTATTTTGTTACAGGCTTTTCTATTGGACACAATTTTAGAAGGGTTATATAAAACATTGATAACTGTAATAGGTATTGTTTTCTATATTTAGTATCTTGACAAAATTCAGCAGCTTTCTTTTTTCGTCATAACCAAAACTTACTAAAAGAGAAAAAAAAGAAGGCTGCTGTTTTTCTCACGAGGCGTACCAGGTCTGAAAGGGTTTTAGGGAGCCTTTGTTCTCCCTTTACTGTGACAGAAAGCAGAGTTTAGGACACGCTGTAATCAGAGCTGCCATGCTAGTGCTTTTTTTTCACGGAAAAAAAACTCACTGTTGTTCATATATTTCCTTTACGATGGATCTGCAGTGAAAATATGTTCATACTACATGGAACACCTTTGGAAACTATGAAGAAAAAAAAAAAACAGAGTGAAATGTTTCAGAAATTGTACTGCTAAGGCTACCAGCAGCTTCTGAGGCAGTGTTGCCATGGGAACTAAAGGAAATTCATTCAGATATATGGAATATAAAAGGTTTCCTTGAAAGGTACATTTTATTCACTGTGTAGGAACATGGAATGGAGAGAAACTATGGTACATAAGAAAAAAAAAATCTCTCGAGGAACGTTGTTGTACCGTGGTTGTCCAATATCTCTTTGTGACATCAACAATTGCATGTGAAATATCCATGTGGTAGCCAAGTAAGACGTACAACTGTGGCAAGTTCTGGTGTGAGGAAGGATGGGCAAATGTTGTGATATACCTGCCCCTCTGTAAACATCTATAATTCTAAAAGCCATGACATTTAAACACCACTGAGCACAAAATACAGCAGCAATTGGCACAGTGCAGCATTGCTTGCTGCTGCCAGTTGCCCTGCCCAGCATGGGGTCAAAAATTTAAATATCATGTTTGAGATAACTATCCCTTTAATACTTATCTACAAAGGATTAACTACACTGGGCCCCATGACTTAAAATGACTCTGTTACGGAGTTTTGACGTTGCTATGATCAATCTTGGATCTGTCGATTGATGCACATAATGTAGGCACCTCTGAACAGCAGTATGAGATTATCTAAAGATATAAAATGACTGCAAAAAATAACTTTCATTGATATGCTACTGCGTTGTGAGGGTTTCTGGAGCAGCAGCTAACTGATTATATGTGTTTTGCTTTTTAGCACCTGTAAACCAGATGGGCATATATGGGGGGGGACATCACAGCCTATGATGTGCAAGCACATGTTGCCTGCAAGGAACAAACATAAGAAGTGCGTAAAATGTAATCGGGCCTTAGAGTAAACCATAATATAAAGCGCCATAAAATACAAATACTCATCTAAAAAAGCAAAGCTGAGGGCCCCACTAACCTCCTGTGCCAAACTATTGATTATAATTTAAGGGGCATCATATTTATTGACCATCTTCAAGATCACCTGCTTCTCTGGATAATAGTGAAAGCTACAAAAAGGTAACTTAAGGGTGCACATATTTTGCATGGAATGGGTTTACTTAATGTGAAATAAAATCCTTTCAAGAGAATTAATGATCCACTTAACATAAATTATTAAAATAAATAAAAGCTACTTAGTGGAAAACAGGGTAGACAGAAATCACTAAAAGCAAGCATCTAGCATTAATATCTGCACACTTTATTCATTTTTCATCCGACACTCCCGACGCAGAGATGAGGGGGCCCGCCGCCTGCTCGATACCAATTTGATCATCCAACACTCCCGACGCAGAGATGGGGGGGCCCCGCCGGATAACCATCCAATGCTATCCGGCGGCCGGACACCCATCTCTGCCCCGGGGCTGTGTTAGATCAGATACTGTGTTAGATCAGATACTTTAGGCTCAGGCCCCTGGGCGGTCGCACCGGCTGCACCGGCGATAGGTCGGCCCCTGTACTGCACAGTATTACATAGAAAGGCATGTTATAATTTATATACTTCTGTAGTTATTTTTCCAGTTTATTACTGTAGGACAAATATTTTAAAAGCTGGGCGCACATTAAATCAAATTTTTGCTACTGGATTCTAATTCTGCCTGGTTGAATAACCTACCTATTTTGTTAAGGGCTTCAGAAACAAAAAACATCATTAGTCCCTGTTCACACCTAGACGTTTTTGACGCTCAAAGCTAAGCGCGACAAAACTCTCAACACAAGAAATCCCATTCTATTCTATGGCCCCTGTTCACACCTGAGAGTTTTGTCACAAGCTTTAAAATACTGAATGCTGGAAAAAGTATATGAACTTTTTTTTGGGGGGGGGGGCAGATTACAGCCCCATAGACTTCAATGGAAACGTCTGGAAACAAGCGACACAACGTTTTGCACATTTCTGTGCGTGTTTTTGTCCATTCACTGCATTTCAATATTCTCTCTAAAGTGAGCATCTTCCTGTGCCCGCGTCTAATGCACACAAAAATGTGCAAAACGCACTAAACACGCTAGACAAAACACACGCTAATATGTGCAAAAACGCTGACGCTTAGGTGTGAATGGAGCCTTACTGTAGTTTCAGTTCTACCTCTGTATGCTTTAGGCTAAATAACACTGTTACTGGTTTGGGGGTCATGGTAATGGTAAAGTGTGTATCTATCACTTACTGTGTCCATACCTCCCAACTGTTCCTCATTTGGAGGGACTGTCCCTCCTTGATTCTCAGTTGTCCTTCTTTTTCTTCTGATGCTTAGCCCTCTATAAAATAATATTCTATTTAAATAACAAAAATGTTATTCTACACTAGACCTGTCACTCAACATCTAACAGAGCTATTCACAAAAGGGTGAAGAGTTTGGAGTAGGCAGGAGAAGTGAACAATCTAGGCCAGAATAGCTGAACTTGAAAAATGCTCCAGTTCAGCTATGTTGTCCTAGATTGTTCACTTCTCCTGCCTTCTACAAACTCTTCACCCTTTTGTGAATAACAGGACTAACAACATCAGGCAGAATAGGGGCTGCAATAGCTACTGGAGGCAGGATTTTGTTCTCTTCTCCCCCAATATCCAATAACAGACTACTGTGAGCGGAAGAGTGCAGGGAGAGGGGGCACCCGCTGAGAACAGATCTCCTTCACAGTATGGGTACCTGCTGGGAGTGAGGGTGAACTGCACTTCGTCTAACATTGCCAAGCAGAGAAGGAAGTGTGAACTGTTTGTGAGTATAAGTTCCCTTCCCTCCTACATAGGCCGACCCTAGTTAAATGCACTCCTCCTCTCATTCATCCCACTAACACAGATGCCAAAGTCTTCCTTAGACTGACACCAACGAAACAGTGACATTTTTTTCTTCCCACTAACACCGACACAACAGCATTTTTTCCACCACCAACACTGGTCTTTTTGTCTTTTAGTGACACCACCCTTGCATGGACGTTTTTTCCTTCTAGTGACGCAGCAGTCACCGGGGCATTTCTTCCTTTAGGTGACACCATTGCCACAAGGGCTTCTTTTACCTTCTAGTGACTCCACCGACTCATGGGCATTTTTTCCCTTTCAGTGACACCACCGACGCAGAGGCATTTTTTCCTCACACCTATTCCAGGGGAATTTCTTCTTAATTCAATTCAATTTGCTGCAGTGTGCCACGACTTTAGGCAGTATTTTAGAACATGCCGCAACCTGTACTGACATTTAGTATACACCTGTGGGGGGAGGGGCAGTGTAATGGGCACTGGATGACCTTGCCCTGGCACTGGAAGATCCCTCTTGATACTTCTGGTACCTTCAGGATTTAGAGGCACTATTAATATCTGCTGGCACTGCTCTCCCCCTCCCCCTTCGCTCTCAGTTATCATAAACATGAACACTGGACACAACAAAGACAGCTGTGAGACGTGTCTGTACTTTTCAACACCTTGTTAGGGGTGCATTAAGATTTGCATTCACATGCTAGGTTCAATTAAAGTGTACCTATACTCGAATTTAAACTGAAAGCTATCTTGCTTAGATAACAAAATGACAGAGTTGAAATACCTTTCCTTGAAAAATGCTACTCAAAATGACTAGGCATTTGGCCACATAATCTCTGCTGAAGGGAAGGATCAGTCAATCAGCCAATTGCTGGGTTTCACCTGAACAGAGATCACATGACCAATAAGACCCTAGGCAGTGTAAGCAGCACTGGAGTGAGCCTCTAACAGCAACATTTTATTAGAAAGGTAAACATTTCGCTGTGTTAACATTTGAGTCTAGACCTGCTTTACTGTAAATCTACCCTTTGCTCCTGCAGAGCAAAGCAACAGTTTCACCTTGAGGCTAGGTCCAGACCTATGCAACACTCGGGACGTGCGTCCCAGGACTGCGCGACCGTTTGGTAGTGCACACAGCGGGTGCCGCACGGCCCCATTGATTTCAATGGGGTTACATCAGTGCGGCATTCCCTAAAAAAAGGTACAAGTACTTTTTTTGCGACACATGACACGCTGCTTTTTTTTTTAGCACCCACAGCACAATTGGCTGTGGTGGGCGACTCTGTGACCGCCCGGCAATCCGCGCAGTTTTGTGCATGATGCCGCTCGGTCAGGAGTTGCCAATGGGTGAACCTAGCCTAATGCTGGCCCCTGCAGCTGATCTTCCAGCTTTACCGTAATTGTGTGTGGGATAGCATCATGAACAATCTTTTCCTAGTGTAACTGTTTGTTGCCAAATGTTAAAACTTCCTTATTAATGATGCCAAATACTGATTGCAATAAAACACAAGTACATGTGTTTGTTTGCGTGAGCATAAATAACAACATACTTACTTTCTTTAGAACCGGCACTGCTAGTAACACCAGACCCGGCTGATGATCTTCCCACTGGGCTGGAATGCTTGGCTCCCCTCCCTGGGATTTTCAGTCCACTTGGCTTCAACATATTTGTGGCTGTTGCTTCACCTTGTCAGCAAATTCACCTCCTCGGTCAGAATCTTTTCACGTTTAACCATTAGCCTTGTGTGGTTTGGATGCTTCCTCTCATGCTTGCACACCTAAAAAAACAAATTTCCATTGTTTACATGGTAAGAAAGAATGTGCTTGGGATATTTCAACATATATTATTTACAAGATTATTTTATGTTCAAACACATATATTTTTGTCTGTTTCAAAACAAAAGATGACAAAATTAATGTTTCTACCAATTGTTAACTTTTACATTTGGTAAAAGTTAACAATCTATGGAGAAGTCATAAATAAATAAAATGGTTTCATTTCAACGTATACGACTACGTGTGGGTATATGGGTATATACTAGATGTGATGTACCTATATACCCAAGCCCCAAAAGTTTTATTTCTGCAGAGAAAAAGACCAATGCGGTAATGTTAAAAAAAAAAAGTGTACACTTTGCTACATTTTCTAATCAGAGGTCTGATGACTGACTGCTGAAATGGGCTCACACTGTGTACCAGTAAGGAAATTCAAAAATAACTTCACAGCAACAAATAAAACATATTGAAACTAAGCAATACAAATCTGATTTGCCCTACTGTTATGCCATAGTGGTTAGGAAACACATCTCTCTGGAGGATGCATGTCTCAATACTAAATTGTAGGGATGCACCGATATATCGGCCGCCGTAACATATCGGCCGAAAATTGCACTTTTGGCTAAATGCCGAAAATGCAATTTCCCTGCCGATACATTGGCGCATCCCCGCTTTCTTTCCTCCCCGCTGGCACTGCTCTGTGTCCCAGCGGGGAGGAGAGAAACTGTGACAGCCGGCCAAGCGCTGCGGAGGAGAGCGCTGTGAGCGGCTGGCGCCTCTCCTCCCACACAGCTCAGCCTCCTGTCACAGATCGGCAGAAGGGTGTGTGGGCGGAGACAGCCAGCACTGTCACAGGAGGCTGAGCTCTCCACCCTGCACCACCCCGTCCAGCCTCCTGTGACAGTGTCTCAGGAAGCGGAGCCAATGCAAACACTTGGTGATCAGTGATCGCTGAGTGTTTGAAAATAATTGAGGACATGGTAAGGTTACTATATCCTCAATTATGAATGAATGAGAAGTGATCTACATCACCTCCTGTTCATTCATAATTGTGGTTATAGTAAGCATACTATCTCCAAGTTATGAATGAACAGGAACACTCAGTATAGAGCAGGGGTGCCCATAAGGTCGATCGCGATCTACTGGTAGATCACTGGTAGATCGCGATGTCCTGTCTTCTCTGGATCCCCGCTGCTCTCCCCCATCTCTATGCAGCGGGGATCCGAGGAAAAGTGAAGCTGCAGTCGGCGGCGGGGGGCGGAACCGCTATCACAGTTGCACGCCGAGCAGTGAGGAGAGAGAGAGAGAGGGCAGCTCGCCTGGATCTGACAGCCGGCGGCTCTCTCCTCACCGCACATGCTGCTGTTACAACGGCTCCATCAGCTGATCACTCCGGTGTTTGTAAATAACTGGGGACACATAATACTATGTGTCCCCAGTTATGAATGAACACAATGTGATTTACATCACTTCCTGTTCATTCATGAGTTTTTCAATGGGGAGAAGCACTCTGTACAGATGCTCCTCCCCATTCAGAAACTGGTGATAGTAAATATTTTCTGAATGAATGGAAAGCCTCTGTACTTTCCATTCATTTAGAACAGAGGCTGCAGAAAAAGAGATTGAGGACTTTGTGTCCTCAATTTCTTTTCTATTTTAAAAGGGAAATATCAGGGGGCTGTTTAACCAGTTGCCGTCCGCCTGTAGTAGAAAAACGGACGGACGGCACTGTCGCATTCGCGGGTTGCCGTCGCCAGACGGCATTTTTTTTCTGCTCGCGCGCCCCCCCTAGCGGGCACGCACGGGCAGAAAAGACCCGTCCAATGCGAACACCCGGGTGTTTCACATATAGGCGATCAGCGGGTCCATAGCCCGCCGATCGCCTATATGT